ACGATGGGCGTGTAGGGGGGAGGGGGGTCAATTTTTGACCAAAATTTTGCGTACGTACTTTGTGCACGCCGCCTTATTAATTTATTGCGTGAGTTTTGATTTCATTTTATAGTGATAAATAAGAATACTTATCAATGACAATAATTGTATAAGCTGAATTATGGGAAAATTATTGAAATATTAAAATGATCATACATAATTTGAATGATACTATAATTTAAAAATAAAACTAAAAATATATTCCAAATAAAGCTCTTAATGAACGTTGAGCAATGACCTTGCGCTTGAAATCAAATACAGGTAAACTTGTTTTATTCTCAATGTGGCCAAAAACTAGCCTATATCCATTATAACATATAGGCTATAGGCTAGTTTTGGCCACATTGAGAATCAAACAAGTTTACAATACATAGCAACTAATGGGAGCCCAACCGACTAATAGTGTCGTGAAGTGGTATTTAATGTATTGATTGGCGTTTGCGAGTCAATCGCATGTCTTGTAATGTCTTATAAGCAATGCTTTCACCGATTGTTTGCCAATACCTCTCAGCGAGTCGTTTAAATCGGCAAACATTTGCCTATATTTTAATATCAGGGTAAATATATGTCGCAAAAACATGGATGTCATAAATATGGCGCAATACATGGCGTCAATATTAGTGTATATAAATCCATAATAGTTATTTTCAAACAGCAAGTTTATTTTCAATATAAGCCAATTAGCTTGAAGCATAAACATTGGCACTATCATGAATGTGTATGAAGTGATTTTTAACAATATTATTAATTTTATAAGCAACCCTGCTAAATAAATATCCATTTTATCGGTTCTCAACTCATTGTATATATCATTGACTTTATGTATCCATTGCTTACTTATAAAGTGATAGTCGATAACATAGCAAAAAATTATACTCTTTGCCGAGATTGCACCTATGTCTAACATGAATTGACTATTTGTACCATCTAGGTAATAGCCAAGTGATCCATATTTAGCCAATAGTTGTGTTTCATTATCCGATATAAACATAAAAATGATGATATGGTAGGCAGTGGTGAATGCGGTGTATATGAGTAGAAAGTAATTGAGTTTTGAGTACTTGTGGTGTAATTCACGCGCCAATGATATGTGATATACACGTGATATGACATCAAATTGCGATAACATTGAGATTATATCCGGGTCCGATTCAGTATTCTCCTCCATATTAATTATCAGGATTGTTTAACAACTATTTGACTTTATTTTTTTCAATATTTATTGTACTCTATGTACTGTATGCCGTACTACCAATCTATGTTCAATGAATTGTAATCAAAAACAAAAACAAGTAAATAATAAAATTATTTATATGTAATAAAAATTGTTATTAAATTTATTTATTATTATTGTTAAACAATTTAGCTTACGATCTATATATCTAACATTAAATAAAACATTTATTAGTCAATAGCTAATAGGATATACAGTATAGTATAGTAATGTGGTATATCAACATTGGACTTTTAATATAAATATTAATCATTTAGTTTTTGAGGTATGTTTGGATAATTTTATTTCAAAATATCAAATGTATACTAATGTGAAACTTATGTTAAATGATTGTCAAAATTCCCGTAATTGCATTTTAATGCTAACTTTTATTTGCCATTATAATAAAAATAGTCTATTTTCATATAAATTATTTTCATACTTCATTTTAATGGATCATAAATATTGATACCTTAATAATAGTTTATATTTATAAATTATAATAGTTAAGACACAAATTAGTCATGTTTTATTATAATACAATACAAACATTTATTTTGTGTTTAAATTATTGATTAATAGCTAAAATAAATTTACATTAAACTGAAATAAGTAATATTGCTGCAATATAAATGATATACAGTAACTAAATAACACTGTATAACTGAAATAAACAATGGTTATTATAACTTATGAGACATATTGGCATTTTACCATTGATAAATGAATGATTTGAAAATAATATTTAACTGTTTTTAATAAAAGTAGTTACAGTTTGAAGTATTAAATAATTTTATTTATACTAGTTATACATTGTTCGTAAATTTATTTTATAATAAAAAAAATATTACATTTTAAAACAAATTTTATTTTATGTAAGTTAAAATTTTAAATATAAGTAAAAATTAGTGACTTTTATTATATTAATAAATGAGGTTCAACAGCTAGTCCAAATTATATAATAAACCCAAACAATGCATACATTAATGTTAATTTAGTTTAAATTTACTGTTTATGAAAATTAACTCTTATAAACAAAATAATTAATTTTTTAATTAACTAAATCAACATAAATAGTTTTTTTTAATAAACTTTATATAAAGTTTAAAAACTAGTTTACAATATTATAAGATTAATAATACTCAATCTCATTATATAACGATATCAGTATTTAGACATATCTATGATTTGCATAAATACCACCGGTATGAACATTATAATCTGTATGAAATAGAATAGTTATTTTAAAAATAAATCTACCAAGTTAATTTACCTCAAAACCCTTGAATCTATTGATTAGGAATAGTTTCCAACAGTAAAAGCCAACCATATTTCTACCCAACCTTTCAATGTGAACTGATAACTAAAATCATATAGATCAATTAACAGTTAGTTTAATTAGTTAAGATTATATTACCTTTAGTTTGTTTGCATGTATTTGTCGATTATTAGCTAGATAATATGAATTAATTAATTTATATGAATTTATAATTTGCTTGTGCAATTCAGAGCAATAATGTATTATTAGCATCAGGGTTGACATAAATTGAATAAATAGTAAAAATGCTGCAATTTTAGAGAATAATATGAATTCAGAAAATAATGACATAAATAGGAAAATAGATATTATTATTGTAATTAATAACCAATAAATCGCTAAAAACTTTGCCCAATAAATAGCATTATAATCATTAATCTCAACAAATATATCATTTAGTTTATTAATAATATGTTGTGGGTACATGGTGATTTTACGGGATTTATGTGATACACATAAATTGTTTATGTGCTGAAGTTTTAATTTTAAATAATATACTATATTAGCAAAATACACTAATTGCCAGACTATTATTGAGTTAACATAGTGTCCCCCATAGGCCCATATTATACTATGGGGTACTGCGATGAATATAATTTGATAAACAGTTAATTTCATAGCAAATATAGACAGAGCACCAAGGAAAGTACCAAGTTTTGTAATTATTAATAGTAATTCTGTGATTTTTATACATTTTCGTGAAAATGTGTGTAACTTATAGACAATATGTTTGTCATGAATGCCAATACTAATGGGTGTTATTAAACCCGAAAGCATCCGAAATACACACAAATCTCGCGGTTTTATACCCCGACTATAGTTATAGTAATTGAGTAGTTGTGAGAAAATAACAATCAATGCCTCGACTATACAGAGAATGGATGAGTTGATCCTATTTCCTGCAAAATACGGTAGATTTCCGACGATTGCATAGAAATCATGATTTTGTTGAGGGATTAGTATTAGTATTATTTGTTGTAAAATAAATACAATTAATAATATATTGAATACAACTAACGGGTGATGAATGAGTGGTCGGTTTGTGGCATTCAATGGCTTATAGGGTGAGAGACCAATACTGTAGAAATGGGTACCGGCCCTCGCAATTACCAATGACCCTGGTAACACTTTGTTTAAATTAATTTCAAGTAATATACTATTAGGATCCATATTTTGATTCATAATAACTTATTATAACACTGTTTATATATTATAATAAATGTACTAAATAAACTATGTATTATTTATACTAGTTCTCAAAATACATTTAACAAATATGTATTACAATAATTTGAGTTCGGTACACTAGGTAATTAGGTAATAATTATTAACGTTAATTGACTTATAACAAATGCACTAATTATTCTTGCATATTTTTAAATATAATTAAGATAATATTTATTTAATGATCTATTAACTTACTTAATTATATGAATATTTTATTATTTTATTAAATATGTTTTCAAATGTTTTGTGTAATTAGTTTAGTCAATATAATATATTATATAATTTTACATTAAATAATTTTATTACAAAAAATAAAATACATTATTTTGTTATACAGTATAAATATTATTATTATTAATTTTCGCATTTGATTATATTTTAATAATGTTTTTATAAATTATTATTTTCAGACATTATCATCATTACTGAAAAATAATCATAAATATTGATTTACTTTAATTAGTCAGGTTACATTAAGTTTTATTTAAAATTAGTTTAATTGTTATTATTGTAAAACTAACAAATAATTTATCATAGTATATTACATAATACAAATTAATATACTGTATAAGCATAATTTATTTAAAATATAATTTTAATCGTTATTTAGATGTTTTTAAAATGTAAACTGATATTATTATTTGTACTTAAAATACGTTAAAATGTACTTTGTGTCGGTATATCTAATCAATATCATCATGGTCATCAAATATTGGTTTTCAATCACTAATTAGTGAGTACTAACAAGTAATTTGAAGTTTAAATAAACTTTAGATAAACATTTCACTATAATTTTTGCCAATGATAAACAAAATGTGAATATAAATATCAAGTCGTTTTAAGTAAAAAACAATAATTTGTTTAATTCGCGTAACATTTCACAACAAGTACACATTTGTTGCCATTTTAGTGTAATAAATATATTATAATTAAAATGCGCCAAGATAATATATTGAGTTCAGATATTAAATTACCAGAAAGTGTTTTTAAAACCACAGCTGAATATGTATGGAATAAATTAACAAACCTTGATGACAATGTAATTTGTTTGGTATGTCTATGATTTTATTAAAATTAATTAATATTATTAAACAAGTTAAACATAAACTAAGAATTCATATTGTTTTTAATTTATATACTGTAATTATTATATGAATCTAAATAATTGAATTAGTTTTATTTTTAAAAATTGTCTCAAAAATAATTACATTATTTTAATTTTATATAATATATAATATTATTGTAGTTTAAATAATTAATTATTATAAGCAAAATAAACATTCATTTTTATTAGCCCATAAATAAATATTTATATATTTTACCTTAACTTTAAAACTAAATAGATTATTTTTACAGTTTAAAATAATATAATAAAAAACTAATAAATAATTACTATATTGTTACCAGCTTGTTACAATAAACTATACAAACTAAATATAACTGACCTTGCCTACTTATATATTCCCAACAGACAGAGGCATTGAGTGGCAATGAGTTGACAATCGGTGAACTCAAACGCCAGTCCCATAGCATCGGCGTTGGACTGGTTAACCAGGGGGTCACCAAAGGGGACAAAATAGCATTTTCGGGGGAAAACTCTATACAACACGCCGTCTGCCGATTCGCCGTCAAGCTACTGGGCCTCACATTCATGCCCTTAAGCCCTACGTTTGAGAAGTACGAAGTGGAACAGGAGGTCAGGTCTGCCGGCGCTAATGTCATCATCAGCTCCGGCGATGACTGCCATAAGTTTGGGTCGGTTTTGGAGAACAACATAAATAACGTAAAACTTGTGGTCATTATCGACGGCAAGAGTGAGACTCACGTGACTTATGACCAGTTGTTGGCTGAGAGCAGGGGTCAGACACTCCAACAGATACCGTACTTCCCGGTCGACCCGTCCACTGATATGCTGTTTCTCATACACACGTCCGGCAGCACCGGTAGGCCCAAGTGCGCGATGATACCGCACCGGGTGTTCATCAACGGCACCGATGAGTTGCCCCTTATGTTTAGGTTCCGGGGCATCGAGGGTCTGGAGGATACGGTGTCGGCCATGTGCTACCCGTGCGGTCACGTGACGGGAACGATACTCATACCGATGATGATTCTGAACGGAATCCGTTTAGTACTGTTCGGCAAATTCGATGAGCAGTTGCTGTTGAAGTCGATCGCAAAGTACGGTATAAACGCTTTGCCGGCGTTTCCGTCGTTCGGTCGGACACTAGTCGCCGGAGATTTGCTTCAGAAATATGACATCAGTTCACTGAAAGCTGTCAGTATAGGCGGGGCTGCCTTTCCCGAGACACCCGCCCGGGCTCTCATACAAAGGGGCATTCAAATTAAGGAGGGTAAGTTATATTGTAATCACTATTCATATACGGTTTATACTGTACATTTTATTTGGGTTTGCTTGCAATGTTATTTTTATTTAATGGCAAACTGAAGGTTATTATTATTATACTTGTCTTATATTTGATTCAGGATGAGGATGAGTTTGAATTTAATTAACAATTTTAATTCCTTATAATACAGTACCTGAATACAGTTATTCTAGATGAATTTAATATTATTCTTGCACAAAAAACACAAATGAATAATAGTATGCTCTATTTATTATTTAAAAATATTTATTATATAATTATTTTGTACATTAACCTTAAATATCTCAAAACAATGTATTTTAAAAACAGCATTTAAAACGTTAATACAATTATGCGACAATTATTTAGTGATGTAAGATGTGTTAAAAAACTGGACCATGTTTGTACAGACCAGAATGTTAAGTATATAATTAACTAGGTATAATTAACGATCACTATAGTTTGAATTTACAGGTTATATACAAAAATATTGTTTATTATAAACACATTATAACTTATAATTTTCTGATTTTAATAATTTATTTTAATTAAAAGTCTATGCGATGACTGAATACGTTTGGGTCACCAATGGGTCAGATTATAACGACGAGTATATACCGGGCAACACAGGCACTGTAGCACCGGGATGTCAGCTCAAAGTAGTCGACTTGACCACCGGTGAGAGTCTGGGTCCGGGACGGGACGGGGAGATCTGTATCCGCGGAAACAAACTGTTTGCCGGATATCTGGACAACGAAACGGCAAATCTGGAGGCGTTTGATAAGGACGGGTGGTATCGCACGGGCGATATCGGGAGGTATGACTCGCGGGAAAGGCTGTTCATTGTGGACCGACTGAAAGAGGTGGTGCGCATCGGTATCGACAACCACTACATCAACATCAGTCCCGTAGAGATCGAGCAGTTCCTACTGACCCACCCGTCCATCGCTGAG